CTGAGAGGAAGCATGTCTGTTTCTCCCAAGTGCTGGCTATCACGTGGCTCACTAATCAGATATTGGCTTTGGCTGTGGAGGGAGGGCCTAGCCTCGTAGCCAGGGGACCTGGTTGTGTTTTGAAACTGGCGTTGCCATTGTGTGGTGAACAGGCCCCTCAGAGGCCGGAGTGGGCGGAAATGGAAGGAGAGGCAAACGGAAAAACGGTCTACACTCAGCCAGAGTCAGAACGGCTGCTTATCAGAAACGCACTTCCCTAGGTCGTCCATCTGGATCTGTGGTCCCAGAACAGGGGCAAAGGGTGAGGGCATGAACCGGGGTTTACACTCAAGGCACTTCTCGTGTTCCTTGAGGATGGAGAAGCATGGCGTCACAGTGTCTGAGTCCCTTTGTGGGTCCTGTTACTGTTCTGAAGGTGACCCTGGCCACTGACCCTACAGCTTTGTGGAAGGGTGAGTGGAGGCTGAGCCACTTCAGGCCCCTTGTTTGAGCTGTCCCAGGATCAAACATCCTGCATGGAGTATCCTACATAGGGCTCTCCCGGGTTCCTTAGGTGGAGAAGGAAGCAGGCAGACCTTGTGGAGAGCAGTGGGCCATTGAAAGAAACTCTGTCATAAAAGTTAGAAGCTGACAGTGTAGCTCGATCATCATAAGTCTTGCCTACCACGTACAAGACACTAGGTTTGATGCCCAGCACTGGGGAATATGACTATGTATGTGCTTAGTGGTGAGGAGCTTACATAGGATCTTGCAGGGTATCCCGGAGGCTGGAGCGATGGCTCAGTGGTTAAAGAGCACTGGTCGTTCTCCCAGAGGACCCAGGTTTGATTCCCAGCATCCACATGATGGCTCAACCACCTGTAACTCCAGTTCTAGAGAATCCGGTGACCTCTTCTGGCCTCTGGGCACCAGGCATGCACATGGTAATAAACAGATGGTACACAGACTTTCACGGCAGGCAAAATACCCCTACAAATAAAATGAAAATAAATATATCTAAAAGAAGAGTGTCTCAAAGTGTCCATGTTTACTACTGGCAGGGTAAATAGAATGAAAGAGAGCCAGTCTAGGGGCTGTGCTTTGAGAACTTAGTCTTTATTGTCTGTAATGGGCCAATCAGAACATCCAGTGTGTACATGTAAGCTATTTTGTCCTATCCAATATGAAGACATTTAAAATAATCGTTATACTCAGTGGGTTGAGCATTATTCCCAGACCGGGCATGCTGTTCTCAGTATCCTCTTGAGAACTGATTTGCCTTGTTGATCCCTCTGGGAAGAGATCTGCCAGATGTGGGCCTGAGATCCGAACTTGAAGGCTAGCAGATGTGTGAAGCTTTCAAATTGTTGCTTATCTGCTGATTTGAACACATGTAGGTGCAAACACGCATGCAAACATGCATGCATGCATGCATGTATGCCTGTGCATAGGTGTAAACATGCACAGACACTAACAAGGGATTTATACAGGTCTGCACACGTGTACACACAATGATGCATGCATTTATGTATGTCTTCACGCATACACGCACATACACAAACATGCAACATACAACCTTGCTCTTGATTTCATTTGGTGTCCCCCATTTTTCCCTTCCTCCTTGTCATCTATTTTTCCTGTTTTTGTTTAATGGAATCTTTTTGTATTTTAAGGTTCTATGGTCATTCACTTGTTTTTGTCCGACAGGGTATCACTAAGTGTCAGGCTGACTATGTAGCCCAGGCTGGCCTCAAACTTGTCAAGTTCCTCCTGCCTCTAACTGCTGCATGCTGGGATTGCAGGTGTGTTGGCCAGGCTGGCTTGGTTATCTTTTGAAAGCCATTTTAAAGCTTTTGGGGGAGGAGATAGATCATAGATAAGGAAACAGAATAAAATACACCATGTAGAAAAGAAGATGATGAGAGAATGTACCAAGTTGAGTTGGTTGATTTGAGGGAGGGTGGTGGTGGCAACTGAGTAGATGTAATATTAACTTTACCTCTGTTTTAGAAAAATCAGCTTTGACAAGGCAGTTTTCTTTCATGTCCCATGCTGTCTGGTGGGAGGAGCATTCCTTGTCCAGCAGGGTGGAGCAGGAGGGTCTCCAGGTTTCAGAGCAGTCTATGGGTTGGGTGGGAAAGCTGACCTTGTTACCAGGAGAACACAGTTGACCCATTGGACCCAAAGATTCTGCATCTGTGGAGTCAATTAATTTTGGGTTCAGCCAAGCCACAAATAAAAAAAATGTTTGGGAAAAAAATTCTGGAAAGTTACAAAATGCGCAATTGAAATTCGCCGCAATGTGGCATGAATACCAGGTCCACACGGGCGGAGTGCTATGTGGGACTGCATTGGGTCTTGCAAGCAAGCACTCCCGAGAGGCTTTAGGTGTATGGAGGGGGCCTGGAGTGGAGCCCAGCTGTAGCATGCTGAGATCCGGAGATCAATTCTCAGCCTCCCCGCAAAGTATACAGATGGATGATGTATCAGGCTGTGTGCACATACTGTGCTAAGATTTATGCAAGGAATTTGGGTGTCTGAATTTTTGTCATCCTAGGGGTGTCCTAGAATGATGCTCACAGATACTGAGGGCTCACCCATTTGCTTTTTCAGCTGATTAAAAGTTGAAATGGGAGTACCAAGAAGTGATTATACAGGACATTCATTGAGCTCCCCTATATCTAAACACTGTCCCTGCTCTGAGGAGCTTATGCTTTGTGCTGTGTGTGTGTGTGTGTGTGTGTGTGTCTGTCCGTCCGTCTGTCTGTCTCTGTGTGAATGAAGGTATGTGTGAGTTTATGTGTGTCTGTCTTTGTGTGTGTGTGTCAGAGTGTGTCCGTGAGTGAGGATATGTGTGTGTGTACCTGTGTCTTTGCGTGTCTCTGTGAGTATACGTGTGAATGTATGTGTCTCCGAGTGTGAGTGTGTGTGAGTTTATGTGTCACTGAGAAGCTACTGCAGATGGCAGTGCGGCTAAGATGGTGGCAGTCTCACGAGTTGATGGGGGGGTGCACGAAGAGAGAGGATTTCAGTGAGGGGACACTGCCTGAGCAAGGAGCATGGGGTGGGCAGGAACAGGTGAGTGAGTCAAAGGAGTAAGAGACCCACAGGGTGGCCACGGGTGCCGACCATGCCGGGGACCGAGAGTGATGGAGCCTGGAGACATCTGCTAGGGTTAGATCTCGCCGGGCTCTGGGGAGATGCTGGAGCCTGCCCTTCCTGGCGGATGTGCTTGAGGACCGGACCGCAGCTTCCTGGCGGATGTGCTTGAGGACCGCAGCTAAGGAGAAAGGGTATTCCAAGGTCTGTCTGGCTGCCTGGGAGTGTGGGATGGAGGAGAGTGAGGGGTGAGGCAGGCTGTAGCCACAGGCAGTCCAGAATGCTTGCAGCTAGCAAAGGGATACTTTGGCTGTGGTGGCGTAGTAGGGCGGAAGTGGAAGCAGAGATTAGGAAGAAAATTGGAACTGTCTTGACAGAGTTTGTAGGGTAGTAGCATTTTGCCAAAGCCCTTATCAGTTGACACCATGTTCTAAATATTAGGTAGCTGTGGAACCCTGACGTTATATAACCGGTTCTTTGAGCTGGTGCCTGAGAAGTTCCCAGTGAGAAAGGGCTGGGGGGGGGAGAATTCTGTCAAAAGAACTTAGAAGCGTGTTTCAGAATACATTTATTTGAACTGCCATCTAGTAATGATATTGGCTTACAGGGTGCAGTGTGACATTCAATACATGTATATAATTATAATGATCAGGCAGGGGTTACTGCTGTATCTGGTGATCATATCTCTGATATGTATGAAGCCAAATTAAGCCACTCACAATGTAGTTGGCATCTGATTTGATCCTGGGCATAGGAAATCTAATATTCTATATTGAAAAAATAACTCATTGCTGTAGGAGTCCAGAGTCCTTAGCCTTTTTCTTATTGTTGCATGAATTTGATTGGACCTTAGACAGCTAATTTCAGTTGGAATCTTAGTGCTTTGTTGTGTGTGTGTGTGTGTGTGTGTGTGTGTGTGTGTGTGTGCAAAAGATGAGTGATAATAGTTCCCGAAAACCTCATGTTGTCATGGAAGCCAGGCAAGAGCTCTCCAGGGAACCCGTGAGAGATAATGGCATGTGCAAAGGCCCTGTGGTGAGAGGAAGCAGCTTTATGGAGCAACTGAAAGCTGGCCTGTTCAGCTGGAGATAGAGGACAAGTCATAGGGGGCACAGGGTCCTGTTGTGGAGGCCAGCCAGGCTCTTGCAGACCTTGTTGGGGGACTTTAAACTATATTTTCAGTTCACAAAAGGCACTGGTGGATTTAAATCAAGGAGCGTTGTAAGGCAGACAGACATTCAGTCTGTGTGTGATCTTCACAACAAAGTCTGTAGGTAATACAATCCCCCCTTAGAAGCAGTACCGAGACTTAGGGCAGCAGAGCTGTGTACCCAAGGGCACCTGCGGGCAGCTAGTGGAGCCAGGGGACAAACTGAGCAGGCTGAGTTCATACTCTTTGTCCTAAATATCAGCCTACCTTAGTAATAATATTACAGCAAGCTCAGCTTCAAAATGTTTTAAGCTCTTAAGATGAAAGATTGCCCTTAAATTACGGAGTGGAATTACACCGTGGAAACCTGAGTGGCCAGGAGTGAGCGGAGCTGCTGGCTGGTTTGCGAAGGCCTATCGTACATGGCCCCACTCCAGCCTTTCTGGGGCGTCTCATGGCAGCTAGTGACACAAAGAAGGGTTCGGCTCTTCTAGCTGGCCCCGTGACACTGCCATTGTCCACAAGGACTCATTGTCCTCGGAATGTGCCCCGGGACTCCGATTTGATAAGTGGGATCTGAGTGGTTCATGCACGACTTCTCTCGTCTGCAGCTTCTCCCTGTTGGGCCCTCAGCTGGCTTAAGTGCATTCCGGGACATTGTTGGAGAGACAACGTCTCCAGTGAGAACCCCGGAGGCGCGGTTCAGGGTTCAAGTGGTAAACACCTGCCCACGAGTCTCCGATGATGACGACAAATGTCTGTTCCTTTCCAGTTGACCACGTTGTTCCTGAGCCCGGGACAAGCCTACTGGCTGCCTTTGATCAATGGAGGGAGTGGGCTGACAGCAAGTCCTGCTGTGACTATTCCCTGCACGTGGACATCACTGAGTGGCACAAGGGTATCCAGGAGGAGATGGAAGCTCTGGTGAAGGACCACGGTAGGTCTTGCGACTCCTGCAGATGCTTTGTCCTGACTCAGAGCCTCCCTCCAGCAAGCGATGGGGGCTTTAGGCTACAGCTCATGCTGATTGCAGGGGCCCTGGTTCAGTGTAGGGGCATGAGCATATATGAATATGACAGTGTGGCTTCCTCCTGGGGTACCTTCTTGTGTAACAGCATCCTGCAGGCTTGAGGGATGTGGTCTCAAGGATGACTGGCCCTCCAAGGCGCAGCGAGGCGGTAGGTTTGTCTTTGGAGTTTGGGGGCAGACATGTCACACAAACCTGCAAGAATGACGCTGGCCGAGGAGGTGGTGAGACTCTTCAAACCTGTGACAAGCTGAAGAGCTTTTTCTGCTTCAGAGACTCACAGGGGATGGGAGGAAGCATTCTCAGGGAGGCCAGAGGAGGCTTCATGTACCTCGAGGTGCTCCGGGACTCCTGTCTATGGGACAGTTGGGGGCTCAGGTTGTGGAGTTGAACGGCATGGTTTTCCTGGGCCCCCTTCATCTTGGCTGAGGATTAGGTTCTAGGAGTCACTCTTTGATATCACGGGGTCTTGATTTGCGGGGAAGCACTGCTAATTGTTCTGTTCTTAGCGGTTCAGAGTTGGAAAGGTGTGTGCCGTGAGTAAATTTCCAGGCCTGGAGACTCATAGGTAAAGCATCCACAGGTCCCGTATAAAAGGCTCAGGGATGGGAGGCCAGCTTGTCCACAGACTAGCTGTGTGGGCAATTCATGTAAACCCTGAATCATTTGAAAATCTGTCCTGTGAATATTGGACTAAGATGTTCTTTAAGTGTCTTCCTAGCATGGAGGTAACCACCCACCCCATCCCATCCCTGCAAATTCTGATTTTTTCTTTTTTGACACTCAAGGACCATCTAAACAGGAAAAAGCCCAAAGGTAGGAAAGAAAAGAGAAAAGATCGTGCTGTTTGGGTTAAACTGGCCTGAGGTCAGCCACGCAGCCACGAGGCGGGGAGGAGAGCTGGAGAGGCAGCAAAGCCCGTGGTGTTAGAGAAAATAGGCTTTGAAAGGGATAGAAAGAAGAAGTGGAAAAGTTATGTTTCTCTGAGTAATTCAGAAAACCGGGCAGACGTACGAGGCCTCGTGGCTGTGACCCCGAAGCCTACTGGAACTCTAGGATGGAAAGTTCATTACATCTTTAAAGGGTAATTATTCCTTCCATTTTTTTTTTGGCATGACTTAAGGTGAACCTGCCTTCCCGAAGGGCGATCCCTTGCCTTGGCCAGGTGATTCCCTCTTAAGAGAGGAGACAGTGATTCATCTCCATACAGAAGCAGATCTCATTTTTTCCAGCTAGGAGACAACAGCTTTCCCTTAATGACCATTTGATGCTTCTGTAACATTTTCCCTACCTCTGAAGAGGTACCCCTAAAGTCATTCAGAACCAGCTAGCCTCCAAACATACTTCTGGCATTTCTGGCTTCTAACTGGGACTGTTCTCACTTCTTGAAAATACCCAGATGCTGTTGGATTTTAACTTCCCAGATCAGGCGAGGCAGGTTGCTTGACAACTGTTGCCGGGCACGGAGTGAAAAACTGGGATGCCCAGAGGCCTTTAGCCCAGGCAGCGTCCAGCGTCCCCAGGTGGCTTGAATTAAGCTTCGAAGCTCTGAGGTTGTCAAGACGATTGTTTGGGATTGTGATGATTCTTGGACAGGGATATTTGGTCTGGTGCCTTGGGGAGGCCAGAACGCAAATGCTAGGATGGACATCTGCTTGCCAAACTAATGGATTTTTCTTATTTAAAAAAAAATGGTTCTTAAAAACCAGCATGGCTTGCCAAAGGAAAAACAATTTTTATAGTCAGAATTTTGTAATTCATTTTCTTGTCACAGTCAGAATATACTTGTTTTAAGCAAGCTTTTTTTAAGTGATACTATATATACACATATATAGACTATTTTTTAAATTATTCATTTGTTCTACTTTATGCCTATGAGTGTTTTGCTTGCTTGTGTGTCTGTGCACCATGTGAGTGCCTTGTGTCTGTAGAAGCCAGAAGAGGCCATTAAAATACTCTGGGACTGGAGTTACAGACAGTTATGAGCCCCCGTGTGGGTGCTGGGAACTAAACCTGGATCCTCTAGAAGAGCAGTTGGCGTTCTTAAACTCTGAGCTTAATGGCCTGGATTTGATCCCCAGGGCACACATGGTGGAAGGAGAGAACTGACTCCCCATACGTTATCCTCTGACCCGTGTGCATGCTGTGGCACAAGTACACACACACACACACACACACACACACACACACGCACGCACGCACGCACGCACGCACGCACGCACGCACGCATGCATGCATGCATGCAAATAAAATAAAGAAACTCCCCAAACCGTCACCACTATCCACCTCTAGAATGCTTCATCTTGCTAAAATGAAACTCTGTCTCCGTAACCCTGTCCCCTTCCTCCAGCCCGGGTAGCCCCATCCTGCCCTCTGTGATACTGACTGCTCCGTGACCCTCTGCACGTGGGTTTTGCAGCACCTGTCTTTCGTAACTGGTGTATTTCACTGGTCGGGTGGGGTTCCACTTTTTGATTGTTGCGAGTTATGCTGCTGTGAGAGTGTATTCACGCTACAGGTTTTAATGTCGATGGACTTTTAATGTTCCCAAACAGGAAAATCATGAGAACCCTGAAAACAATGTCCAGAAATCCTGCCCCTAGCTTCCCATTCGCTTTGTCATTCTGTCTGTCTGTCCCTGTCATGCTGTTTCCTCTATAACTCTTTGATGCTGAAGACTAAACCCAGGGCTCCATCTATGCCAGCCAGGCACTCCACTGCTGAGCTGTGTACCAGCCCTGCGTAGTTTTTGCTTTTTGAGACAGGGTCTCTCTAAGCTTCCTACCATGCCTTGAGCTCACGCTGAAGCCGGGCCTTGAAAGCGTGATCCCCTATTTCAGCTTCAGCAGCTGGGATAGCAGACAAGTGCCTGCACAGTTGCTTCTCTGTCTCCCTCTCTTTTTCTCTCCCACACAGGTATGCACAGGCACACACCCATGTGTGAGCAGCCATCACTGTCTCCTAGATTGTTTGGTTTGGGTTTATCTATTAAAACTCACGTATCTGCTTCTCTTCTTTGTCTGTCACTAGGGGTAAACTCTTTCCTCGTGTACATGGCTTTCAAAGATCGATTCCAGCTGACAGATTCCCAGGTAAGAAAGCCAGCCTTTCTGAGTAGCCTCCTCCATTCTGTTTAATCTGGTCACCGCTGCCATCTGGGGAAACATTCTTCCTGTGTGTGCAGCTTGCTCTTAGGTTAACGGGACATGGCTGACGGATTTCATTTTTGATGGAATTGGCCTTTGATGAGGTCATGCTCCACCGGACTCTGGAATACAACTTTGTAACCTCTGCTTAGGGTACCCTGTGTCCTGGAGGTAGTACTGAGAGCCGCTCATCACACGTGTGCAGAGCTGAGATACCCTGCTTCTCACACCACGCTCCCGTCATTTTGGTTGGGCTGCCTCTGTGAATGGCAGAGTGGCCAGAAGCAGTCCCCTTGACCATATTCCTAAGCCTGGCCTACCAGAGCAGCCTGGATGCCATTTCTCCCCCCACCCCCAAGGGGATTTCCTTTGGCCTGGAAGATTCAGGTTCTGGTCTCTGAGCTTGTCTTCCTCTTCCTCAGATCTATGAAGTACTGAGTGTGATCCGGGATATCGGTGCCATAGCTCAAGTCCACGCAGAGAATGGCGACATCATTGCAGAGGTATGGAACTCTTCCTCTCGAATTTTCTTCATCTCGAGGAAAGCAAGCTCAGGAATATAGGACAGCTTTGGAAGCTGAGCACCAGTGTCACCAGTGTGGGAATCCAGAGGACCTGGTGTTCTGTTACTGGGGCTCTGTTAGTGATCTCCTGCTAGTGTTCTTAGGGCATGTGACTGGTTCCCATTCTAGAAAGGCCCTTTCTCTCGGCACTGCAATGTGACTGTTCTGGATGGACACTGTTCACATCTGGGCATCATTGCATGCTATGCTGTGGGCCAGGAAGGCCTCTACTTTCAGCTTCCTAATGCTGTGACCCTTTAATAAGGTTCCTCATGTTGTGGTGACCCCAACCATAAAATTATTTCATTGCTACTTTATAACTTTAATTTTGCTACTGTTATGAATCATAATGTAAATATCTGATATGCAGGGTATCCAGTGACCCCCAAAGGGGTCCAGACTATTGCTCTAGTGGATCTTTCTTGCCCAAGTGGGATTGGTAATAGTATAGTGATCCTTTCTCTTTTTGAGGTCTGGGATGACCCTGTATATCTAACAGGGCCCACTATACTTTCTGCTGGGGAACTTTTTGCTCAGATCTCTAGCCATCAGCCACCTGAGATCCACATCCCCTGACTACTTGGCCTTTTTAACACATTGCAGGAACAGCAGAGGATCCTGGATCTGGGCATCACAGGCCCTGAGGGACATGTGCTGAGCCGACCAGAGGAGGTGAGCATCTGGGAGTGGGGTGTGTGACATGATGTCTCTTGGGCTCTGTAGAACACCCCACCCCCACTAAGTACCTGTTGAAAGTGGGGCTTTTTCGATGCTCACTGGTCTTTCAAAGAAATGTGTGCACATGTGCATACCCACCAGCAATACAGCCAGGCCCCCAAACACAGGATGGAGTCACAAAGCACTTTTACATCTCTTAAAATACATGTGAGGAGCCTTCGCCCAGGCAGCACGCTCAGTAGGGTCTAGTGGACAGAACCATTGAAGACTGAGAGCAGGATTAGCCCAGACTGCAAAGCACAAAGTCACCACATTAGACCATGGGGTTTGTAAGTCAAAGGCTGCAGGCATAATGTTGTAGGAAATGGAGTCTTCACCACTAGAGTTTTCACCTTATAGTACTTTACAGAGTGTCTTAGTTAGGTTTTTATTGCTGTGAAGAGACACCTTGACCATGGCAACTCTTATAAAGAAAACATTTAATTGTGGTAGCTCACAGTTTAAGAGGTTCAGTCCATTATCATCATGGTAGGGAGCATGGCGGCATGCAGGCAGATGTCGAGCCGTAGCTGAGAGTGCTACACCTTCCAGGCAGCAGGAAGTCAACTAGGAGTCACACTGAGGGAAGCTTGAGCAAAAGAGACCTCAAAGCCCGCCCCCACAGTGACACACTTCCTCCAACAAGGCTGCATCTCCAAATAGTGCCACGCCCTTTGGGTTCATTATTGTTTCAAACCACCACACAGAGTCTAGTCCTTCAGTAAGGGTGAAGGTCAGTCTAACAGCTGTCTGACAACTCGGAGGGAAGAGGATGATGGGAGAGTTCTGCAAAGAACATTCTGGATTGTAAAGATGTGTTAGAGGCTAAGAGGAGACGCTCGGGGACCTGGCCAGATGGAGGCTCGATATTTAAGGTTTGCCTTCCAGAAACAGATCAGAGGGGGGGATGTCTGGTAAGTGGGGATCACCAGATCCCAGAGCTCGCCAGAACAAAGCACGGAAACAGGAAGGGTGCCCATGTGTCTACCAGAAGGAGATAGCTATCAGGGAGCGCCGTGCTGATTGAACATTTAAACGGAAAACTTATGTTTGTATGTAGCTCAGTATAGGGGACTTCGTACAGAATTGCAGAGTGCCAAGGGGCCAGTTACGGACATCCCCCGAGGACCCACAGGACCATGGTGGGAGTATGCTTTCCAGCTGTTTTGGAGGTTCCCAACTTTTTGCCAACCCCTGAGCTTGATGATGCCCTGAGTCCTGTGAGGTTAGGCCAGATACAGGGACTTTTGAAGATGGGGGATGGGAGGGAGGGAGGGGCTGGCAGAATAGAGTGAGGACTCCAGGCCCTCCACTCTTGCTGTTCCTTCAGATGATGACGGTTCAGTTTGCCAAGCTCAGTCTGTTGTGGTAAGCTGAGGGGACAGCACAGCAGCCCAGAGAATCAAACATGGAGCCCTTCTGAGTGGACTTGAAGTGCAGTCCACTCAGGAAGAAACCGCCAGCACACAGGACACACCATTAAGCAATGACTTGACTTTGCTGTGGTGTCAGGATCTCCGCCATGACTAGTGCCATGATGGCCAGCTTGCATTAGAGCTTTGCAGAATGCCTTCCAGCTACCGTGTGCTTCTCTTCGCGGCCTGCCATGTGGCAGCTCAGTAGGGTTTCCCCTGGTTTTTAGATAAGAAGATGGAAAGGGGAGACTGGTGAGAACGCAGGACTCTGGGGGTCACCTGTCTGAGGCTGCACAGAGTGAGAAGCACGTATTCTGATCACAGCAGTGCCCGGCCCCGTGTGAGCTGAGAGGGCCATGGTCTTTTTCCTGAGAGGGAATGTCAACGAGCTGGTGACAGAGAGGCAGGCAGGAAGTACATGCGTAGGCTGGAATGTGAGTGGCTCCCGGCAGGGCCAGCTGTCAGAGCCTGGGGCCTGAGAAGAAAGTGGACACTCAGATGTGTAAAATGAAGCCATCACACAGTGACTGTGGCCTCAGGATTTATGACAGAGTTGTGCAGGTTGCCGAGGTGGGAGGGGCTATCCAGAGAATGCCTAGCTGGACTCTGCTATGGGTCCCTGGATAGGTCATTTCACCGTGGCGTTTGTGCTGTTCCATCTACGAAATCACATAGATAACCTCCCAGATGTCCGAGATCTCCATAATGAGAAGAGGTTTTATTTTAAGCGGTTATATCCTTTCCACAAGATTTAAGGAGATTTTCGTCAGGGCTCAGTGCACATACAACAGTATCTGCTGTGTATCAGCGACTGGAGTGTTCTGATTGGACAATGGAGAGTGAGGTTTAAATACCCCCTTCATCCAGAGAGCTAGTGTTTTAGTTTGGCCTCTGTCCAATTTCAGGCCACTCTATGGGGCCAGATGGAGTCTAAATTCCATTCACAGGGTGTATGCAAATCCAGACAGACCCCTGGGACCAGGATTTTTCTTACTAGTTTAGTGAAAGCCGGTCCAATTTGGCCTCTTAATTAGAGCTGTTGCACACCCCACTTTACTGAGGGCAGGCCTGTAGCTGCAGTCATTATTTATAGTGTATGTGTCCCTTTGTGAAGGGTCTGTGCTGGGACATCAATCGGGTTGTTTCTGGCATCCCTGTGAAGTGTTGAGCATCTTGGAATCCCTTTCATTCACACTCCACACTAGAGACCTCTGAGCTGGCGGCCCAGTAGAAGGCTTCAGGGAGGGGAAGGAGGCCAGGGAGCAAGAGGGAGGCTCCCTTCAGCCATCCCTGGAATGGGAAACATCTGAGTGTTTGGAGGAGTGTTTTTGAAGCGGTTGCTTTCCTGTAGATTTGTAGACTCTCTTCACATAGTTGATACCCAGAAGCCGAGTGCAAGTGAGACATGGTCTCCCTCGCTGGAGTGAGTACTTAGAGCAGCGTCAGACCCCGGCCCTGCCATGCTCCCATGGAAACGGGACTAGCTGAGCCAACTCATCGAAGAGCGCAGCTCTCTTCTGTGAGAAGCGACAGCCTGGCTTCTAAAGTGACATTAATAAGATGAAGCTGTTTGTTTGTGCAGCAATGAGATTTGAGCATCTAGTGGGTACCAGCTGTGCTTTGAGGATGTTAAAGAGTGGAGCATGGTGGGTAGAGAAAGAATAAGACCACCACCCCGCGCCCTCTTCTCACTTGTCAGCATCTATACCACAGCATCACCTTAGGATTTGGTAGTAGTCTTTTGGAATCTGCTTTGAGTAGGTTTTATTTTTCGTGGTGAACACACATGTTGTACATAACATGGACCTCCACACAGGTGACTTTCCTGGTTGGGATCTGAAATTCCATTCCCTGAGTATCAGATACAAAGAACCAGATGGTTGATTTGTGTGGCTATCATCTCTGCTGGAGGCAGTACCAGGCTGTGACTGACCAGTCATGCTCTGGGAGAGCATTCTGCTGCCTGCTTCATCCTGGAGCTCCATGAAGCTTGTTTTGTTTTGTGGGTGAGGCTGGCCGGGCTCACAAGTATCTGGCAGACAACAGTCCTCCAGAGTCACAAACATCGAATGTCCTTACTCAGGACAGTGAGAGCAGAATGAATAGCCACACTGAGATAAGCCAGGGTCTGTGAATGTATGGTGCTTCTCAAACGTGAGCAAGTGAAATTGTTGCCAGGGTTAGGGGCAACATCTGGGTGCTGGCAGTCCTAACAAGCTTGGTTTGACCATCTGTCCTCAATAGGCAAATTATAGAAATAAGCCATTGGCAAACAGTAGAGAAAGGAGTTGGTTCAGTGTAGTCACATTAGGAAGAGGAACAGAGAGATACGTAAGCTGGTCTTCAGAGGCCTGTCACATAGTTTGGGTTTAAACAGCAGGCTGCTGGTCATAGTGGCACACTTGGTGGGCTGTGTTGAAGAGGCAAGGAGGCAGGATCAGGAGTTCTGGCCAACCTGGAACTTTAATGGCCTGGAGATATGGCTCATTGGCTAAGAGTACGAAAGAATTCACATTGGTTTTACAAAGGACCTGAATTTGGGTCTCAGCACCCACGTCAGGCAGCTCACAACTGCCAGTACTTTGGGTAGATCCAAAGCCTCTAGCCTCTATGGGCACTAGACTCATGTGCATAGACCCACACACAGATGGACACATAGTTAAAAAGAATAAAGCAATAACAGCTTTTAAATTAGAAGGCAAGAAGTGTGTGTGGCCAGGCAGTCCGGATCATGGCGTGGTCCCTCCCACCCATCGTTATCTTGGCTTTGGCTGCCCTGAAAGGTGTTCTGTCAAGCCAGAGCTGAATGAACTGTCTTTCCTGGAGACAAGTCCTCTTCTGGCAGGCTCCCAGCCTCAGGGCTTCCTTCTCCATCGTGAAATTCTCCTCAGGAAATTCTAATTTCTTAGGGGCCATTGTTTCAGTAGTTTGATAACTAAAGGGAGTGACACAAGTATCTCTTCAGAATGTCTTGTTTCCTGCCAGTGATCACACATGATGGTTACAACCCACTTGGCTAGGTTCTGTTCCAGAGTCACTAGTGTGGGTCCAGGTGGGGCGTGAGGATCTATGTTCTGGGTGCCATCTGGGAAAGCATCTTGGGGGACCCATCTGTCTCTGCTGGTGGATGAGGACGAAGGTGGGCCTGAGGGTGGGCCGGGTTTTCATGCTTGTCTGCCCTCCCCTAGGTCGAGGCTGAAGCTGTTAACCGCTCCATCACCATTGCCAATCAGACCAACTGCCCCCTGTATGTCACCAAAGTGATGAGCAAGAGCGCGGCTGACGTCATCGCCCAAGCACGGAAGAAGGGTGAGCCGTGTGGGCCTTTTGGACAAGCTGTGGGCAGGTGGAAGGAAGGAGCCTGCTCACTGAGGAGCCTCTTTCCGACCCTCATGCCAACTGGTCCACTTCTATCACGTTCCAGCACTAACCTAATTGCAGGGAGCTCCAGTTTCCTCCCTTTGTTCCACGTCCGCGGCCTTGCTTGTATCTATTTAAAGCCAAGGCCATGTGGGCAGGTAACTCCCTCTCTATAAGTGTTCTGTGTAAACAAACTAGTTATACACACAGGTTACATCACTTTCCACTGGCTACAGAACCCCTCTGGGAGACGCCATTGGGCAGAGTGTGTCTTCCCTCCATCTTGGGTGGGGATTTCTACTGGAGGACAGAAGGAGCCTTGTGTGGGACACATGCTTACTCACCCCAAGTTACCCCCTGCCCACACACTGTGGGTGCCTTCTGCCTGAAGCTGGCTCTCCGGAGCCTAGCCCTGGAAACTAATTCACCAAGTGTAGCTTCCAGCACTTTCCCGCAGGGATGTTCCACGGAGCACCTTGTACATTATGAATAAGCAGCTCCTTTATCACCTGCTGGGCTACGTGAGTTTGGCTAGCCACACTGCGCGTCTCCTGTTCAGGAGCTAACTCAGCATATAGAGCTGGAAACCGGAGCACTGACTTTGGTGGCAACCTTAGCCCGATCTGAAGCGAACGTTGCCAAGGGATTCTTCTCCTCCTTCTGTCTCTGCAACCTTCTTGTGTATCTTTCCAGCTTATGTATCTCCATTTATCTGCTTCCCCCCCTCCTCTCTGATGCTTCCCTCCCACCTCTCTGGCTTTGTCTGTGTGGTTTGGCCTGGACAGCCGTTCTTCGTTGTATGATCCACGTGGACCATTAAGGGCTGTGGGATGTTTTCACTGGTGAGTGACTTGGTACAAGCTCCAGAAGAAATTGTTTATGGCTACTCAGTTAGCTGGTCCCCCAAATGGCTTCCAGACCAGCGCTATGATTTCTGGGACCCAATTTGACTAGTTGCTAGGCTATGAGTTTTTGAGAGCCTGCCCTCTCCTGGCTGTTTGGAGAAATTGCCTTTTATTTAGTAATAATAGTAGTGGCAGTAGCAGTATCATCCAGATATAGTCCAGGCTGGCCTGGAACTCACTGTGTAGCATTGGATGACCATGAATTTCTGATCCTCCTGCCTCCACCTCCTGACTGCTGGAATTACAGGTGTGTACCACTATTCCCTGTTGAAAAAAAGCATCTAGAATTTGGTCAGCATTGGCCTTGAGTTATTTTTTTAAGAGAGCCTATAAGTGATTACTGAGTCTGTGGTCTTTCGTCACCCAGACTCACTTGTAAGGTGACTGGGTGTTCAGCCTTAACAGCAAATACCCTTCTTGGTGCCGCTGCTTCCATGTAGCGGGGGCACAGCGGGTGGTGTTTCTGAAAAGGGGAAACGTGGCGGGCAGCTAATTTTGTGTACTCTGCACTGGTTATTCTGCACCCATATGATAATAAGAAATAAGGTACGGCCAACATGTATTGTGGCCTTCCTGTCCGAAGTGCAAAGCATCATGGGCTCACCTTGGCAGAGCGGAGCTGGGCTTGACGACTGGGCATTTAACTTCAGGCTCCAAAGCTCCACGTTAATGTTTGACCAACTCAGCTTCCCTCCTGGGGGTTGTTTTAATAGAGGAAATTCTTGTGGTCTGTATGGGGTTGGGGCTTAGTTCAGGCCGAGACTGGAGCCTAACCCTCAGCATAGGCCTGGGTAACAGGAAAGAAATAGTCTTGAACAACCAAGAAGGAAACAGTAGCAGACTGTGTTAGGGTTCATTCCCTGTTATTAACACTGTTCAGGATCAGACCCTACTTCATGATGCTTCTCACTTGCAAAGGGACAGTTTCTCACTTGCAAAGGGACAGCTGTGATAGCGACTCTTCTCACAGAGGGTTGCTTGTGTTTAAAGGAGATAGTGAGAGTATGGATGTGTCCAGCATCCAGACACCCTTGCCACTGAGGGATGGAATGCTGGTGGAACTGGGAATGTGTTCAACAAGCCAAGATGAATATATTCATGTGCTTTCCCCGTGTGATACTTCAGACCTCAGTGCCAGGTGCCAAAAGTGGTCCTGACCCCCAGCATCTGAGGAGAGAGGGTGAGGCAGGAGCAGAAAGTTATCACACATTGACAGGCCCCTCTCTCCATGTGCCATAAACCTGCCTACCCGCAGAACCTCTGCCCCTGTGTCCAAGATGGGAGGTGTTTGGGAAAATAGAGAAATGAGATGAATATGAGACTATGGGGTGAAATGCCAGTGAGGGTTATAGCTGCATGCCTTTTCTGAGTGACCTGTGGCCACCATTATTCTGTCCCATTTATCAGGAAACCCCTTTACCAACCTCATAGTGCAGAGAGAGAAATGAAACACACCGGGACTGGAATACATTATCCACATTTTAATTTTTTCTTGTCTTTTTCACTTTCTATTTTATTTTTCTGCATTCCTGGGATTTGAACCTAGGGCCTTGTACATGTTGGGCAAGTGTCCTTTCTCTGAACTCTATCATGGTATCTTACCTTGCTTTGTATTGGGGGCAAGGTCTCACTGTGTTGCTCAGGTTGGCCATGAATTTGTAAACCTCCTGTAGCTGGGATTATAGCTGTACCATCAAGTCCTGGCTTGAGTTTCATTCTTAAGAAGAATTTAGACAGTGGTTGATTCATATCACAGAAGAGAAATTGAAACGCAGAAACTGAACATGTCATCCAGCCTCTGGGGAGAAGCAGCCATGATTCCAGATCCCTGCTGTCTGTTTGCCCTGAGTGTCCAGGGTGGGACTTCTCCTTCTGGCTGCCTTTTGTTCATGTGAGGATGTGTGGGTGGCTGCAGATACCTTCCTGAGGGAATGGTAACCTTTGTGTAGTATCTTCTGCTGTCACCCCATGGGCACCCTTCTCGCCCCTCCTTATGTATCCTGAGAACCAAGGGACAGACACATTCAAATAGTCATGGCTGTTGAGGGACGCTAAATCCAAGACAAGACTTCTCTTGACCTGTAGGCCAACAGAGAAGGCCACATCATTAAAATCTCTGGTCATGTGAGTGACGAAGACAACTTCACCTTGGGGATGAGTCCTTAGGGTTAAGCTGATTTACCACAAGGTAATCTTGAACCAGACTTGAGACTGAGGGTGGCTGGTGGGTTGGATTGTGAATGTCACAAACTCATAGCAGAGTCCCTTAGAGAAACAGCCCACTGGAGGATGGGGGAGGAGACAGGAAGACAGAGGTGGATTTATTTCAAGGCATTGGCTCATGCCATAGTGAAGCTGGAGTGTGAAATCATCAGAGAAGGCCAGCAGGCTGGAGACATAGGGGATGGCATCATTCATATCTGAAGGCTGTATGGAGACAGAACACTTCCTTTTGAAGTGGGGAATTCAGATTGCATTGTAATTTCAGCCAAGTAGGATAACATCCTGGGTTTGACTTTCAGCCACCTGTGTTCTGTGTCTGTAAGATATGTGAGCTCTTTTAGGGTAGAGAGAAGAGTGGTTCCTTACCTGGGAATTTGAATTCATAAATTCATTTTTTTCTTCCCAATCATTTTGTCCAGCACCTGTAGAGGCAACCAACCAGTGTCATTTTGTCTGTTAATTCTTATAAAATGGTCTATAGCATCAAATACAACATCTCAGCCTTGCCTCGTAGACGTATTTGACTTAGGGCCCCCAGTGGCATGGACTTTACTCTAAGAATAATTATTAGTGCCCCTGAATTACCTCAGATTAGAGAATCAATTCTAGGAACTTAAGAAAACTTATCCTGAATGTTTTGTTTATTGTCCCAAAGGATGGTAATATGCCTATGATCCCAGCACATCGATAGGGATTCATATCATGAGAAGTCTGTAATCATAAGACGATGAGGAATAATTCTTAAGACTAAACTAAAAGAGGCATAAATAGGACTGCTAGTTCAAGGTCAGCCTGGCATACATATTAGCATGGTACTGACCCCCCCAAAAAAAACCATGGTTAGGGAGATAGGGTCAGCAAACAAGCACAGGAACCTGGATTTGTCTCCCAGAATCCATGTAAAGAAACTGGGTGTGATGGTGCATGCCTGTGATTCAAGTGTTGGGGAGGCAGATCTCTGGGGCTCATTGGCCAGCCAGGCTAGCTTACTTAGAGAGTTCCAGGCTAATGAGATACAGTGTCTTCTATGTGTGCAACTCCGCAACCCATGTGCATCTCCTACAACATCACACACACACACACACACACACACACACACACACACACACACACACACACACACACACACACGATTGGTTGCTTTAGAAATGAACCATCCTTGCTATCAGAACCTCATTGCATAGCCTGCAGGCAGTTGGGGCTGCAGCCTGAGCACTCCAGTAGAAATGCAGAGTGGTGTGGGTCTGTCTTTCCACCGAGCCTCATTTCCCTGCGCTTCTGTGGCTGAGCTTTAAGCTCCCTACACGTGGTTTCCATTGTTCTTGCTTTGGATTTGTCCTGCTTCTCGTTCATGGGAAATGACAAACTGTCGGAGCCTGGAGCTGTCAAACACTTTCAAACCCCAGCTTGCAGTTATTCACAACCCGGGGCTGATTGTGAATAAACATCACCCGCCCGTCCCCTGCATTCCTGGCCTGACTAGTGCGCCTGCCAGAGCCCGGCTTGGGGTCACATCCTTCAGTTTATACTTTCCCTGCAGAAGAGAATCATGAAACCACAGCGGCAGCCAAGAAAGCATCAGCAGTGTATTTAGAGAAGCATAAGAAAACCAATTAAGCTGTTCATTATTATTAGTGGTAATGATTGCTGGCCCACAGCAGCTCACTGGTGTCTGTGGTCTGACTGAGCTCTGGAGGCCAGTCCATGGCTTCCTCCAGCACAGGGTTATAGGGCAGGGAGAGGAGCCGATGGCAAGGCTCTGGGCCACTGAGCTGGGCTGGTGGAGAGCAGTGTGTGAACCACACTCCCCGAAGGTGGAGGTCTTAGATATTACGATGGGTCCTACCCTAGTTTGTGGAGCATAAAGACGGGTAAGGACCTCTAACTCCCTCAGGGGGTTTGATTGGGGCAAAGCAGGAGCTGGAGACATGGATCATCAGTTAAGAACTCTTGCTTTTGCAAAAGACCAGACAGTTCAGTTTCCAGCACCCACACTGGACTCCCAGGCTGCACACTTGAACCCCACCTCATGGGTATCTAAGGCCTTCTTCTAGCTTCTGCTGGCACACACACTCACGTCTGCATATTCATACACAAGCACACATAAAGAAAAATTTAAAAAATTCTGTGAGTCCCTCTCCCCAGGTTTCTGCATGATTCCATCTTGGGTTGGCCAGGAGTCCTCACTCTGATGGTCTAAGGAAGAGATTATGTGTCCCCAGTGATCTTGGAAGCTCTGAGCCATCCTGAGGTTTCCAGGGGCGGAAGGCTGAGTTCACTGTCATATAAGGCTTATACTAGAGTAGCAGAAGGCCCAGCACCCAGCCCCTTGTCACCCCAGCCTTGGATGAACATTCCCATCTGCTATTAGTACCAGCCTCCCCCAGTCATGTTCCCAAAGCCAGGGTGGAGGTGCAGACTCAGTAACAGGGCAGAGGATGGCAGATTCCAGAGCGTCCTGGGAATGTGTTTTTTGCAGACAGCTGAGCTGTTGTTTTCTCCTCAGAGCACCACTGCTGTTCTGATTTCTTTATGGTGACAGAACGTGCATATCCTGAGGGCTGTGGGTCATTTATGTGGAGGTGGGTAGTGGACAGCAGGGCTCGCAGACTTGGCCGGATTGGGGTTTAGATTTCATCAGATCTGCTGAAGTTCCTATGAGAGCCACTGCTGCCCATGCTCAGCTACTGCATCTCGCAGTGGGGCTGAGGAGCAGCTAACAGCTGACCTTAGCTTTCTGGGGTCCTTTTCCATTTGGGGGTATGTGTCCGGTGGGCTTGTACAAGCGTCTGTTGGCAGAGTTCCTGTAGGTCAGGAATGTTGGGTCCCTCTCCTGGCTCTTTCTTCCAGGGGTCTGCTTCTGGGCATGCTTGCCCTCAGTTCTAGAAGCCACCCTCCTGCCTGGAGACTGTTAACTGAGTGTGGATGGGAGGCAGCTGTGCTTGTGGCCTCCCAACACCCTCCAACTGAACAGCCACTTCTCTGTGACATTCCTGAGGCAGGAGGGGGCAGCTCCCTGGAGCCAGTTTTGAGTGTCTGGGCAAAGAGGGTGTTGTGGAATATTATCCAGTGATAAGCCTCTGCGAGGACCGTGGAGAGAGAGGGAGACACATTCCTGACTGAGAAGGGTTTGGCGTTGAGGGTCATGTGTCTGGGTTATGAGAGGAGAGGCAGATGGAGCTGGGTAACCTGAGAGCAAGTCCCAGCGTTCGGGCCTTGAGTTAGTAAAACGCTAGAGCACCAAGTTGGCTCGGCACACATTTGCTAAGTGCCTACTGTGTGCAGGCAGAAAAGTGGTCATTAGGTATGTTGAGTGCCTACTGTGTGCAGGCAGAAAAATGATGATGAGGTGTCACCGTCAAGAGTCCAACAGTTTGAAGTGGGTGATTACTTGGGTGTAGGATGCAATACTTAGGGGAGAGGTGGTGCCTGAGCCATTAAAGGGGAGGCTGTAATCTCAGCGCCCCTCTCCAGTCTAGACAGAAGGATAAGAAGTTCAAGGTCGTCCTCTGCCGCATACACAGTGGGTTCAAGGCCAGACTCAGCTAAGAAGAGTCTGTCTTTGAACCATGAGGGACATAGGTGAAGTTTGGGGAGAAGGTTTTGTTGTTGTTGTTGTTGTCGTTTGTTTAAACATGGAAGACATGACGTAAGAGGTTCTTAGAAGGATTGTGGAAGAGAATAGTATTTGGAGAGTGTTCCGTGAAGATGGAGAGTACACACTCCATGGGTGTCACAGAGCGTGGATGGCGCTGAGGAAGCAAGCGTGAACCTGCCAAGGGAAGAAGGTATTTAAGAGATGCAAGGATGCCCATTAGGCAGTGTTAGGGGCCCCGGCTGTCTGGCCTCCTATGAAGGAACAGAGACGATACCATTTGGACATCAAGGGAGCGTACATTCTTTCCTGGTTAGTGAATGAAGTTAGGCCAGGCTTCTGGAGACTCCGAAACCCCAGGGGCCTTACTGTAGATTCTCATGAAGTGGGCTGTGGCTCTGATGGCTGCCATTGATGGCCCTCGTGTGGCCAGTTAGGTGTCTGGGCATCTCTAGAAGATTCTCACACTATTTATTCATGGTTTCATTTATGACTTTGGTTCTATAGCTGGACGTAGACATGGCCAAGGGTGTGGAGGAGAGGGCTGTCAGGGATGAGCAAGGAGGACAGCTTCTGCGTTGTAAGGTTAAATCCACTCAGCATCCATAAAAGATTCTAGGTAGTTCTGAGACCTGGGTGTTGGAAACCATCTGACCTGGATATCAGTGGTGTACGGCATGTATAGTGTTTATGATTGCCTCAGTAGAGAGGGTTGGATCCACAGAGCAGGACATCTCAGTGTGTGCTAACTGGGTGGCCTTGGCTGCCTAGGGTACTGGCTTGGTGTCATCACCTGTGGGAGGAGGCCGTATCCCCAGAGAAGGAGCACAGAGAGCATTCTGCAGTGCCGAGCATGCAGTCATGTCTGCTCCGAGTGGTCTCTTGTTCTTGGGGTGTCAGACTGAACCACTGTGTTCTGTTTCTCAGGTACTGTGGTGTATGGTGAGCCCATCACTGCCAGCTTGGGGACTGATGGTTCTCATTATTGGAGTAAGAACTGGGCCAAGGCTGCTGCTTTTGTCACCTCCCCACCCTTGAGCCCCGACCCAACCACTCCAGACTTTCTCAACTCCTTGCTGTCCTGGTGAGTACTGGTGACTTGTTCACACCTACACTCTGGATCTCCTCAGGCCAAAAGGACCCAGTAGATGACAACATGGTGGTAGGGGACAGACTTAAGAATAGACCCTTATTGACCAGAGTTGGGGCTAGTAAATGAGAACAAAGAATTAATCTGTCACTGTCTTGGGTGGAAATTCCTAATAGGAATCTGGGTCATTCTGATAGCCAGTTAAAGGGTCTGAAGGAGGTTTCAGAAGGATGCCAGCATGGTTGGTGGGACATCACTTGTGAAGTATCTTTCCAGACAGACTGAGGTGCCTTGCACTGTCAGGAAGCCTCATGTCCTGTTTTTCCTTCCAGTGGAGATCTGCAGGTCACTGGCAGTGCCCACTGTACCTTCAACACTGCTCAGAAGGCTGTGGGGAAGGACAACTTCACCCTGATTCCTGAGGGCACCAATGGCACAGAGGAGCGAATGTCTGTCATCTGGGACAAAGCCGTGGTAAGGCCTGATGGCTTCCCTCATGACTGGCCCAGGCATGCCCCTGTCTTCTTGGGTGTGGGCTAATGTTGACCATTTGAGAACATTCTAGAAACTTGAACATTGTGAGATGGTATTTCTCCAAGACAATTCCTAATAGCTCATTTCATTCTAAATATTACACGTAAGTCCTGTTTCAATGAGGAAATAGCTTCCTCGGTCCCTGGTGATCTTCCCAGTCTTTGACTCCACTTTGTTGGGAATGTGTTGGAAGACTTCCAGAGCTCAGTATTTGTACCCACCACAGGCTTCTGTTTGATCCCTTTGGGGCAGATACTGACTTTGGGAGTTGGGAAGCTTTTTCACTTTAATGCTTTAAAATGTAGTAACAGATGTTCTGATTCTTAGTGAATTCTTTAGATTATATGAATAAAATATATGAATAAAAAATCATCTTGTGTCAGCGGTTTGCTACAGCGAACATTTTGGGGCATGTCTTCAGTTTTTGCGAGCACATATGAGTACATGTGTCGCCCTTCAGGTAACATTAGCGTCACACAGACTACCTCACAGGCCTGTTAAAAGGATTCTAAATGTGTCCTGAAACTGTCATCACTTATTTTTAGTCTTCTTGCTTGTTTGTTTCCCTGAGACAGGTTCTCACTGCGTGGCCTTGGTTGGCCTAAAGCTAGAAATATAGACCAGGCTGGCCTCCACCTCACAGAGATCCACCTTCCTTTGCCTCCCTAGTGCTGACATGAAAGGCATGACCACCACACCCAGTAAAAAGCTTGATTTTTTTAAAATAGTAAATGGTTCTCTTTTCTCCTAATACCAAATAGTCATTTTAATTCTTTGACTAAAAATTTATATGTTTCTATTTTTTTAACTGAGATGAATATCTATGAAGACATATCCTTGGGTACATCTTTTTACAAGAAGTTTCTAGAAATAACATTGCTAGGTCAAAGGGAGTCTGTTAAAGACTGTAAATAGATATTGTTAAAATCCCTTCTGCAAAGATCATGACACTTGACATGGTGTATGGCACTCCTCAGTGGATTTTAAGAGCAGAAGCCCAAAGCACAACTAATTTGGGTAAATTTTGTCTTTCTTACTTGATATTCAATTTCTTTGCTGATTGGAATGAACTTTTTTTAAATATGCCTTTTGGCCATTTAAATTTTTTCTTTCTCTTAATGCACACTCATTTCTTTGTTTTCCTGTGTTTAGAGTTGGTTTGGAAGGGAAGGACTTCAGGAAATGATTGGTCCTTACTTTACGTCTCGGAAAGCCAGGCTGGCCTGAGACTCATTGACTAGAAGCCCAAACCTCTGCCTACCTTTGTTGAAAGGGAAATCCCAGAGTGCATTGCCTGTCAACGTGTGCTCCCTTATTGTCGAACCTGTTCCATCCTCAGCTTTCTGACCACTCCCCTGCCGTGTGTGCGCATGCGCGCGTTTGCATGACACGTGTGTGTGCTCTGTGCCCCACAGGTCACCGGGAAGATGGATGAGAACCAGTTTGTGGCTGTGACTAGCACCAATGCTGCCAAAGTCTTCAACCTTTACCCCCGGAAAGGTCGCATCGCAGTGGGATCTGACGCAGACTTGGTCATCTGGGACCCTGATAGTGTGAAGACTATCTCTGCCAAGACGCACAACAGTGTAAGGCTTGCTCATCGTGGGTAGACATGTGTGCTACAGGTACCGACAGGGCCAGTCCCAGGATTCTGTAGGAAACTGAAACTTCAGTCTTCCAAGGACCAGACCAACACTCTCACTTTTTTAATTGAGGTTCATGAGACTGTAACTCTTGGCCATGTTTCAGAGGGCAATGGTCCCTGACCTTAGACTTTTGGAGTCCCTAGAATGACATTAGAACCCCAGAAGCTTCTAGAATCCAGTGCTATCCCATTGCTATGGTTTGGGCAGTACCTCTTGTGGTGGGCTCACTTGAAAGGGACATAGATAGAACTGTCAAATATCTACTTCTGAGGTGGCCACTGGGCGCGTCCATTTTCTTGTCACCCTTTTCTCAGGCCGTAGGTCGGTTTGATTGATAGCTGTACTTCTCATCCTAAAAGAATTTGCCTTCTCCTTTCATGAAAGAAATAATCCAGGCATTAGGTCACAGTTTAAGAACTGAAGAATTTGGGGAAAGCTCTTGGTCACAGAGCTTGGGGACATGCCATTAGGATCCTGGCATTTCAACTGAGAAGCAGGGGTTCAGTGAGGCTTGGATGTTCTACGAGTTTGTGAATTTAATGAGTAGAAAGCTGAAGTATCAGATACCAGCAGCTCCTCAGATAGCATTAAACATACAAAACACCAAGGGGATAAGAGAAGAACCTTGGACAGAGTGTTTATATTCTGTTTTTGGAGACAGGGTCTCATGACGTATACCAAGATGACCTCAAACTCACTATCCTCCTGCCTCAGCCTCCCTACTGCTGAGATTACAGATACAAGCCACTAAGCAAAGTAAAGGATTCCATGCCAGTACCTTACTCAAATCTTTTTTTCTCCTAATCTTGGTATTTTATTTAGCTTTAGCTATATGAGCAAGAGACAGTTCTTACAACACTGAGTTCCAAAGTAACATGGACTCTTTAACAATAGTCAAACATTGAGGGTTATTTTTGGGGGTTGTGGGGGCGGGAGGCATAAGTGTGCACTCCTGAAAGTATCTGTGTGCTACACGCTTGCAGTGCCTGCAGAAGCCAGAAGAGGGCATCAGATCCCTGGAACTGGAGTTACCCAGTGTGGGTGCTGGGACCTGAACTTCAGTCTCTTGTGATAACAGCAAGTGCTCTTAACCTCCGATTTAACTCTCCAGTCCCCAGAACCATCTTTTAATGGGATTCTGTCCACTCCTTCCATAAGAAGGCAGATAAGGAAAGTACAGGTTCAGTAGAGCTGGGAATCATAGGCATTTTGATTCAGAATTTCTCAGGGTTTCGTGTGATCTTGGGCAGACAACCTTATCGTTGTGAGTCCATGGCTTCGATCTTCCTGCCAGAAAATACTATCTCACAGCAGCCCTCCTGGTCCTTTGGCTCCTACACTCTGTCCCCTCTCCCATGCATTCCCCAAGCCTGGGGTGTGGAGGTTGTCATTGTGTCCCACTTGGAGCAGGACATGGAAGTGAGTTCCTAATGAGTACAGTGGGTTTCTGAATAAAGTTCTAAGTGACCAGCAGGCGCCACAGGGAGCACAATTCCTGCTGTTCTTCTCAGTGGGCCTGAAACTGTAATGACAGTTGGCCCCAAGGGCCACAACCACGTAGGCAGGTCCAGGCATTTCCAGGATGAGCTTGGGCCTTCTGCCAGCCTAAGTCCGCTCTCTTGAGCAGAAGGGTTTGGGTAGGGCATGCTGGGTTCAGTGCCAGCCTCTTTGGCCCCTGTGGGTACCGATATGGTGGGTGCTTCATGGGGAGGCTGCTGGATTCCATGTTTATGGCTGATCTTGCCTTGCTGGTTCAGCAAAACCTTAGTGCCAAGTCTAAACATGTATCATCCATCTTGGGATCCTCAGTAACATCCTCAGGGTGGCCCTTTCCGGGCATGTGTGTATCATTTCGCGGTCCCAGCCTTTTCATTTGACCTTCTCACTAAAGGGCCTGGTGTGATTATCCCAAGAGGGAAGATAAATAATCCAGAGGTGCAGAGAGCTTCACGACCAGTCTAATGCTACATAGTGATCTTGCGGTTGAGCCAGAGTTAGAAGCCCTAATTTTTCAGCATTCTTCCCCCAACCAGGCTGCGTACGCATGTGCGGCGTCATAGCTGGGTGGGGTGGAGAGTGCTGTCCCTCTTTAGTGGCGTCCCCTCTCCAGAGGGGACAAAAGGGGCTGCCAAGACTCTTTAAAGACACAGGCCTGGGAGCTGCCATTGGGACCTCTCTGCCTAGAAGAGAGCAGGAAGGAATGGAGGTTTGGGAGGACAGTTGCTGCTGACTGGCATTGTTATCTAAGCCTTTCTTGGGCAGTATCTGATGATTTTGGAGAACTGTGGCCCTTCCCCACACCTCATTGCCTCCTCCCGCTTCAGGGGCGGGCACTAAGCGTGCCTGTGTGGTGTCACTCCTCTGCTGAGGTACAGACGAGAGACTCCAGGTCTGGCTTCAGTGTAGAACGTCTAACTTATCCATAACCCTATTGCTATGCCTCCAACTTGCTCCGTAAGTTTTGGGAAATCACGTGATGTTAAAAATGTCCATGCCTAGTGGAGGCGCAGATCTGTAGTCCCATACTTGAACACGTCAGCTTTAAATCACTCAGAGACGAGCTTCTCAACCTGTCGGGCTTAACCCCTATGTGGGGTCCAAGGACCCCCTTCACAAGGGTCCCCTGAGACCATCAGAAAAACAGATGTTTACATTGTGATTCATAACAGTGGTAAATTATAGTTATGAAGGCGCAATGAAAATAATTTTAGGGTTGGGGATCACCACAGCATGAGGAACTGTATTCAAGGGTCCTGGCCCTACTTCCTGCCATATTTTAAAGGGAGAGGGGATGGCTCCAAAAGCCTTCACATCAGTTCCTTCCTCAGTCACTAGTCCCAGGTGACCAAGGTACCTCAGGTACCAGGGACTTGTGCTTGTGGGGACGAAGTGCAGGGTGCAGCAGCAGTGGCTCGGAGGCTGGATGCCTTTGTGTCACTTACGCTTTCATAGGTTGGGCATGTGGGAGAAGTATCTAAGGTCACTTCACTGAGGAATGGCAGGGCTGGGCCGGAAGGGTCCATGGCCAGGGCTGTGTCTGTCTGGAGATGGGCCATTAATTAGGAAGTGATAGGGAGAGGCAGATGTCACCTTCATCTTAGACGTCACTTACACCCTTCCCAAGGCCACTTCAGATGATACAAGATTCTCTCGACATGGTCTACACACAAAGATCCCTTTTGCGTCACTGTTTTCACATATGCCTTGGGAGAATGGCACACGAGGAAACCCAAGTTCTAAGTCAGGGATTAAGTGACGTAGACCACTGCTACTCAATGCCCGTCTTTTGCCTTCTATAGGACGAAACCGACTGTGAGATGTATCTTTAGTTTGCATGCCGTGAGGATTGTAGTTGGGAACTGGCATGGCCTTCACATGTGATCCAGGAGATGTGGGTCTGCCCTTGGGGAGGTGGTGTGAAAAACTCACCATGCTTCTGCTTTAGCATTGAGGATGGGGGTAGGGAAGACGTCCCTGAGGTTCTCAACTAGAAGCTGGCACTCGTGCAGGCTTGGGGTTTAAATCCCACTGCCTGTGTGGGTCAGACAGCCTTGAGCCGAGAATGCTGCGTGTGGCATTTCAGTGCTGGTGAACCCCGGGTACCCCCTGGAGAATCTGGCTTCCCCTATGCTACTGTGCTTACACAGCCAACTCTGATTTCAAGGACAAGCATCCTGCTCAGGGGGCAGCTGTGAGACATATCCCCCAGAATCTTGGAATCCACGTGTAGAGCCTCTCGCCTGTAGCCACGCCTCTCTGCTTGTGTTTAAGGCAGGGTTGCTGTTTCTCTGTGGAGTCTCCGCACGGTGCTGAGAGCAGTCACTGGCGCTACCGAGCAGTGTGACTTTCCCACGTGCTGCTAAGCCACTGTGTCCTTTCTCTACTCTCCAGCCACTGCAGAAGCAGAGGTGGCCTTTGCCCTGGGTGTTGGTGTAGCTCTGCCCTCCCTCGGGTCCTCTGGTGTTTTTCTCTTGGCCTGAGTTTTCCCAGACACACATCTGGTCTGCGCCACATGTTAACCGCCAGCTGCAGCCCTTTGTTCCTGTAGGCCGTCATGTGGAAAGAGCTGTAGGCCTGCAGCCTCAGCTGAGCCAGAACTGTGAGAACCATGGACACTGCTCTGACTTATGGAACCTTCTGTGTCATCTCAAAGCCATCTGTTTTCTGTTGCTTTGACAAAGGCACAGGGAAGCACCCCACCTGTTTCCCAGGAGGGGGCGCCAAACTGTTTTTGCTCACAGCAACTGAGCTCCAAAACACGTCATTTAGGAAATTAAACCTCAATCCCTCAAAGGCTTGCTGTCTTTTACCTGTCACCAGTCTATATGGTTGAGGACTGTGGTTTAGCCATAAGCTCCTTATAGACTGGAAAGCTGGGCAAGGCTGTGGGAAAGCCAACTCATTTCGCAATTCAGTTTGGACTTGTTCAGAGGCGAGCCTTGGGAATTCTGCCTGCTTGGGGGAGAGTTGGTGGACAGTCTCGGCTAATGGGAGGAGTTTTTTCCTTTCCTCCCCTTCCATTTATCTTTTCCCTTCTTTCTGGTGTACTGGGGACTGAACCCAGGGCCCTGTGCATTCCAAGGGTTCACCACTAAGTTCGTTCTATTACGGACTACATCTCCATTCCATTAGATCTCCCAGACGGCCTTGAACACACTCTGTAGCTCAGGCAGGGCCTGGCTTGTGTGTGAACCCACTGCTCCAGTGTCCTGAGTAGCTGGGTTCACAGGTCTGCCCCACAAGACCCAGCTGGAATAATATTCTTTATAATTTGTAAAATGTTTACACAAATACATGCACACCCACATGAGTGTGTGCATACTACCTATATTATTAACCTCTTTATTTTTCTCTCAGATTTGGAGGTGTAGGTAAGATGAGTCGTATTCTAGACAGAAAGGGAGTGTCCCTTGGGCGGCCAGTCAGGACAGGCTCCGTCTCGGGGGTTTTAACAGTGAGCTTCAATCAGCCTGATTCAGTCCAGTCCAGGGGCAGGGACAGGGTTTGCTCTGATGGTGACTGTCCTCCCCCATCCACAGGCTCTTGAGTATAACATCTTTGAAGGCATGGAGTGTCGTGGCTCCCCGCTGGTAGTCATCAGCCAGGGCAAGATTGTCTTGGAGGACGGCACGCTTCATGTCACTGAAGGCTCAGGACGCTACATCCCCCGGAAGCCCTTCCCTGACTTTGTGTACAAGCGCATCAAGGCAAGGAGCAGGGTGAGTGATTTCGCTAACTTTTAACCATCATGGGTTGGGTTTAACGCCACAGACATTCGTTAAGTACTGTGAGTCAGAAAACCGAGACAGAAAGATAAAGACAGCTTGACATTTTCATCCCAAAACCTAACCTACCGGTCGAGGAGTCAAGGATGACCAGAGCTTTGATGGCGGGTGTGGGGTAAGGACCCAGAGGACGGAGCCACTGCTGCAGAATCATGGAGGAAGATGTTATGGAAGAATCCATTTGGCTTCTGAAGTTTAAGTAGCAGTTTCTTAAGCCAAAGGATGGAGATAGAGACACCAGGAAGACTTGCTCTGTGGGAATCATACAGTGTGTTCAGGGCATGGTGCACAGCACACGGACGGTGCTCAGAGACAGAGGTGGACAGGAGTGGAGCTTTAAGGGCATTAAAGAAGAGTGAGATTAAAAAGACAGTTTGATGTTGAAAATCAGACCCTCTTCACAGTAGGACCAGGGCCTTTTTTTTTTTTAAGGGTTCAAATGATGTGACCTGATAGGGAAGAATTGTAAGAAACCAGCAGAGTAACCCGTTGTTGGGGACCCACTGTGGGAGGGAGAGCTTTAGTCTAGAACTTCAGGGGTTGATTGCAAATCTGTCCCTATTGTACCTGTCCGTAAGGTGGGGCTAATCCCCAGGAATCACTGGCCTGTATCGGCTGCGTTTCCGTCACACTGGGAGGGTGCAGGGAAGATGTCCTCTGTGAATGTGACACAGGTTGCGGGGTGATTGTGTGTTTCAGCTGGCCGAGCTGAGAGGGGTCCCTCGTGGCCTGTATGATGGACCAGTATGCGAGGTGTCTGTGACACCCAAGACGGTCACCCCGGCCTCATCAGCTAAGACATCCCCTGCGAAGCAGCAGGCACCACCTGTTCGGAACCTGCACCAGTCTGGATTCAGCTTGTCTGGTACGGACAGGGCTGGGTGGTTCTGGGTCGATTCAAGCTCTGTAGAGCCAGCCTGCAGAAAATGAAAGATAACAGTAGCTTCATTCTCTCCCCACTGGGAAACACTCCAGCCACCAGACATGAATCTGTAAATGATGAGCTGGATCTCAGAATCTTTAGATCAGTTTTGGGGCCATGTGATGCTAAGACTCCCACCCTGTGAGCCACCCCTTTTAGACTGAAGGGACATTTTCTGATCCGTCGTACCCATTTATAATGAGATTTGATGATCTCTTCTGGTGTACAGGCATACATGTAGATAGAATATTCGTATACATTAAAAAAAATACCTTATGTGCCCATGGTGGATGAGGAATTACCCAGTTTCAGGACACTTCAAGGTGTTTTAGTTCGAGAGACAGGCTCTTAAACCTTAGTTTTGTCCCTGAAATATGAGATTAGTCACAATGTGTATCACCGTATTATTCACACACATGGCACAGGCTACCAGCTAGCTTGCATTTTTAAAACTGGAAAAAATGTTGTGTAGATAATGAAATATTTTGTGACCAAGACCCAAATCCAAACACAATGTGGACAGGGCAGCTGGTTCAGCAGTTCAGAGTCAATTCTGATCATGCGGGGGACCCAAGTTTGTTCCTAGCAACCATGTCTAGTGACTTGCAATCACTGTCACTCCAGCTCCAGGAAATCCAGGAGGCCCTCTTCTGACCTCCTCAGGCACTGCCGTTATGTGCAGGGATCCTACCCCCTTCATAGATACTTTAAATTAAAAAAAAAATCTTAAAAACAGTGCATCTATGTTTCATATAGATTGACACAAAGCCTTGAAGGGGATTTCATGCAGTATTTTTAATATGCCAAGTTTGACTACAGTTAGTCACAGCACGTCAGGTATGGAATTTTCACATGACAATGCTTAAGTAGTTTTAGAGTTTGAGCATTTTAGGTTTGGGAGCTTCAGATCCAGGAGTCTTTACCCAGAACCCAGACCATCTGTGCGCCTCTAGTGAGGGGCGTGGGTCCTTAGAAGAGCCATACTCATTAGAACCTTGAATCTAACTTTACATTCCCAGGAAGAGATCACTTACACCAAGTGCGACATGTGCCTACAGGGAGGCCCACTACTTCCGGTAGTTTGAAACTTTAGTGAGTTTTGGGGAAAGTGGTAGGGTTGTGGGTGCTTGGTCCAGCTTTTCCCAGGAATGTTCCTGAGCATACCATATGATTTTATTTCCGAAGAGCCTCACCCATGTTTTATCTTTTCCCTAGGTGCTCAGATTGATGACAACATTCCCCGCCGCACCACTCAGCGTATTGTGGCGCCCCCTGGCGGCCGTGCCAACATCACCAGCCTGGGCTAAAGCCCCTTGGTCTGCAGGCCACATGGGGTCGGGGGATGGGACACCTGAGGACATTCTGAGACTTCCTTCCTTCCTTCCTTTTTTTTTTTTAAAGAGCCTGTGATAGTTGCTGTGGGCAGCCAGTTCCTGGGGCTTCCTCTTGGGCCCCCACGCTCGGTCTCCCCTTGGAGTTTCTGAATTCGCTCACCCAAGTCCCTACACAGTTATGAACACACCCAAGCCTAGCCACCCACCCCACACGGAGCTGCACCTAACACGCAGACATGCGCCACCAAGCAGATCCCAGCGAGGGTGCCCCGTCACACCCTCAGCTATAGTCAGCACCTTCCTGCCTGGGGAAGATATAGTGAATTGCCCTGAGCTGCCTTCTTTTCTTTTTAAAAAGTTTTTAAAAAGGGGGTTTTCTTTGTGGGGCTGGGGAGGGGTGGGAAGTAGGGGAGGTTTTTTTTTTAATACTAAATTGAAAGCCTGATTCAATATTAATCCACGGGTCTTGAACTGGACATCCTAATGATGCAAATATGTAACCGTTAAGCTGATCCGAGGCTGGCAGGCTGCCGCCGCTGCGGAGAGGCTCCACTCTGTCTACATCGCCATCCCTTTCTCTTCCGGGTCAGCTGTTGAGAAGAGGCAGGCTTTCTTCATTGGCCTAGATTTCTGCGGCAGATTAGACCTTTTGAGGGTTCTCTTCACCGTTTTCCTGCATCTTCTGTTTGTCCTGGCTTTTTCTCGTGCACGCGTGGAGAGTGAGTGGGTGTTGGATTTTTGCTTTGTTCTTTTCTCTTGCTCCGCAGTCTGCTCTTAAAACCAGGCGTTCTAGTTTGGGCTCAGACATAGCCAGAGAGGACCCTAGCTTTGTGCCCACGACCATAGTTTTGTGATATCCTGGTTTCTGTTAAGATCGGTGCTGTCCAATTCCCATCAATAGATAGATGTCTGAGTTTGAGGCTTGCCAGACACAAGGATGGCCCGGATTATGTCACCAATATTATCACGTGTGGGCCCAGAATAGGAGTCACGTGTGCTGTAAAGATGAGGAAGAAGTAGGCTGTAGAAGTGGCAGAGTCTCTGGTCGAACCAGTAAATCCAGTCCCCAAACTCACATGAGCCCAAGTTGGGGCCAGTGTCCCTGTGGGGAACCAACCACGTTGGGGCAGTGTCCCTGAGCTCTACCCGGCTTTTCACAGAAGTGTCTGGGGATTCTAGAACACTGGGACTCTCTCTCTCTCTCTCTCTCTCTCTCTCTCTCTCTCTCTCTCTCTCTCTCTCTCTCTCTGTGTGTGTGTGTGTGTGTGTATGTGTGTGTGTGTGTGTAAGGGGAACATTGTTTTTTCTGTCCAGTTATTTCAGAAGGTCTAACATGATGTGGGAAGTGCTTATAAGAGTAGAAATCTTGAATCTTGGGGATAATTAAACTTAAGCCTATTTTACAAGAGGAAAAGCCCTGTCTTAGGAAACACTATCTCATGGAAAGAAAACTGCACAAATTGAGTGCTTGACCCTTTTAGAGATCATGTCACCTCATGTCTGTCACCCTTCCTCTTCCTGCCATAGTGACAGCTTCTCACTAGCTGGCTTCTTCCTGTATTTGCTGACTTCTGTCACATTTCTTTCCAAATGTGTTTACAGGTCCGTGTAAGCAGTGTTAGGTCCACAGGCCTTTATGAATCCAATCTGCTGTGTAAAATGCAGGGCCTCCGAAAACAGTGATACTTTCAGTGTCCACACATTTTACCTTTGGGGTTAATGGTTGGGGTTTTGGTTTGTTGTTGTTAATTTTTGTTATTTTAAAGGTAAATTGCACTTTTAAAAATTGGTTGACTTCCTGCACTTAGAGAGGAAATTTGAACAAGTTGGAAAACATTTTTTTTTGTTAGTTTGAATTTTGAGAAACACTCGCAGCTCTCCAGTATTCGCTCGTCTTCTTGCTGTTTCTTGTACGGGGCCGTGGCCCTTTTGCTTGTTCTAGAGGTCATTTTCTTAATAACAGAACCAAACCGAACAGTTTCAAACCTGAAGATTCCCGCAGTCCGTGTAAGCATGTTTACCTGTCAGCTCGCTCGCTTTCTGTGTCTGTTAAATGAATGTCATGTAAATGCTAAAATAAGTCAACAGTGTCTCAGAACTGAATAACTGCAGTGACTTGATGCTCTAAATCGATGTAGGATTTACTGCTAGATGGTTTTTAACCCTTGAACTTGTGATTGTGACCCATGAGGGGGGGACCTTTCAGTGCTAAAGCTGATCATGTGTGTAGCCAGAAAGGTACTTTTGTTTTTGTTTTTTAAATTTTTTTGTTTTATTTTTTGTAACCACTGTCTTAACAGCAAAATAATTATGGTAAAATACAAGTCTCGTGTTTATTATTCCTTAAGAAGAAGTCTGTGTTATATTACCACTGAACACCCAATAAAGCAGAATGTGGTTGTTTCAGAGGCGTGTCTGTGTGGAAACTTCATGTAGCCTTCCCTGCTGAAGTTCCTCATGGGGAAGCCCTGGGCATGGCTTAGATTCAGGCTGTGAACCAGCTCAGGAGTGCGCACGTGCACGTGTGTGCGCGCACATACACACACACACACACACACACTGTGCCCCCCCCCCACAGGTTGCTATGGATTCCTGGCTAGAGGATGAGTTTTCGGCCCAGACAATGCCACACTTGGGGATGAGAGTCACGGAGGCTGAGGGGCAGTCCTGGAGAGGCAGTGAGCCTCGAGGGAGTGTCTGGCCAAATGTGAGCCTGGGATCCCAGTGGGACCACATGAGGTGAGGCAGGTGTTCAGGGTAGGAGCTGGGCTTCCTTCCAATGCGTCTGCTCTGGGAAATCTTCCAGTCACTTGGCTACAGGAGAGAAAAGAGGCTGTCTAGAGTGTCCTGGCACCTCTGGAGGCGCTGATAGAACCAAGAGTGAAGCCTAGGCTTCCACCCTCAACTCCGGGCGGAGGATGCTGGCAGGGGTGAGAGTCGTGCAGGTTTCGAAGTTACCTGCTTGAGGTGATACTGGCTCTGACTGAAGGAAGTATGCGCTTTGGGTACCCTGGGCCCGTCACATGGTAGGGCTGGTTTACCCCCACGCCCCACAACACCTTATACCATCATCATCTAAACTGGATATGAGGTAAAATTCCTAATTATACGAGCCCAGCCTAGTGGTTAGCAGGGTAAAGTGCTCTGGAGGCTGAAGCGAGACTGCGCGATGTAATGAGGTTCTCCCTTAAAGAAATTATCAATGAAAGGAAAAAGACATTGTTAATCATAAGCAAAGAGATGGGAAAGGAGGAGCAGGAAAAGTAAGGCTCCAAATGACATAGAACAAGACACCTGCTTGGATCCTTTAAACGCTCGCAGAGACCTCCTGTGACCAGTCACAGCACTGACCATGGTTAAGGGTGAAAGAAAACTTGTCTTTAAAGAGATGCTGGGTCCAGAGTGAAAGGCCTGGTTCTTCTGGGAGCCACAGTGTGGAAAGGGAAAGGGAAGGATGAAGTCTTCTTTAACAGGAGGAACCTGTGTGGTGATAATGACGACCCCAGATCCATCCCATCACCCCCAGACTCCACCCGCACCAAGGGCCCGTGGACTAGTTCACAAGTCTACACTCCCCTCAACCCCTCAGGAGTCTGCTGTTTGCAGGGTTAGACCCCCCAGAGGCCCCTTCAAGCACCAGGACGTATGGATCTACTTGGACAAGGACTTAGAGTGATCCAAGTACCCGGGTGTGAAGACCAGGGCGTGGTTGGTATCGTCTCAACTGTCAGTCACTCCTCTTGCATGGCAAGAGGTATGCTGGAGGAGGCAGAGTGTCAAGATGGACCAGGTAGCTTGTGACAGGGCTACATCCAGCCAGCTGTGTTACTTTTGGTATATTTTATTCTAGACCAGTGGCTCTCAACCTCCCTAATGCTGACACCCTTTAATACAGTTCTTCATGTTGTGCTGACCCCCAACCATAAGGTTATTTTGTTGCTTCATCATAACTTAATTTTCTGTTATGAATGGTAATATAAATGTCTGCTATGCAACCCCCATGGAGTCGCATCCCATGGGCTGAGAACCACTATTCTAGATGTGTGCATAAAAGCCCACGGAGGCCAGGAGAAGGCATCAGGGGCAAGCTAGGCAGTCTGGCATGCTTCGCCCTGAGCATGTGCTTAGCCTCACACAGCTCTGAGAAGAAGGGCCCGTCGTTGGGCAAAGTTCTGTAGCGTCATGTATCCTATTAGGGGAGGCAGAGCTGGCTCTGCTCCCATCAGCTGTGATGGGGACCGCCCACCATGATGCTCCTGAGCGGGAGTGTCTAGAAAAATTAGCTTTCGGTCTAGGATGTGGGGGTTGTCTCCCCTGCTCAGCCCTCAGCTTCCCCTGTCCTTTGGTGAGTGACAAGTCAGGAATGGAGTATGGAAGGAACAGAGAAGTGCAAAGGGACACCAGGACACTGACAGAAACAGTGTCCTCTACGTCCCCTAAGGTCTGAACACCAAGAAAGGATTGTAGTCACCCAACGTCTTTCTTTGGTGGCTGCAGAGACTACTGGAGATGTAGGGGACGTTGGAGATGGCCTCCATTGTTTCCAAACAATCTCTTGGTTAAAGTCACACGGCTGACAGCTAGCATTGTAGCAACACACTAGGCACTGTGCGCTGAGCTTTCTGCCCGTTAGCAGCTAATGTTTGCAAAAGGTCACGAAGAAGGTGCCATAAGTGATAAGGAGACAGTGCATGGAGAGTCAAGGCAGCTTTTCAGAAGCAGCTCCGAGTCCACAGCCTGGGACCAGTATGCATGGATACAGAGCAGGACACCAGCTAAGTAACAGTCCATTTAGAGTGTAAACCCAGACGGAGGCAGAGAACAGAGAGGTGGAGTGTGAGAGGTCCTGGGTCTGCCCACCAAGCCCAGCACTACCCTCACCAAGCCTCTGCTTCCCCTTCTGTTGAGTGAGTGTGCTGTGAGGTCTGTCACTGGGTCTGACTGTGGGATTATCAGTATGACACATGAAACATCCTCTAAGGTGATCCTGTCACTCTGCAAGCAGTCAGAAAACCTGCTCTGTTCCCATGTGGGCAGGTATGTTTTCAAGGGAGAATTTAATATTACAAAAGGCCCAAGGAGGCCAGAACAAGGTATTGGATCCGCTGGAACCTGGGTCCTCTGCAAGAGCAGAAAGTACTCTTAACCACCGAGTCATCTCTCCACCCCTCAAATATATTTGCTTTTTTGAGACATCGTTTCCTTAGGTATTTCAGCCTGGCCTTGAACCCATGATTCTTCTGCCCCAGTTTCCTGAATGTTGAAATTACAGGCATATGCCACTCTACCCAACCCCAAAAATATGTGGAGAAAAGAAAAACTGGATTTCCTACTTCTGACACCAGATAATGATGATAGTCAATGCTATAGGGAATACAATATATTTATTTACCAGAGAGAGAGAAAGAGTCACACAAGCTGGGAGTTAGAAGCATGGCCGGCTTCCAAAAGAGGAGGTCCTTTTTCCTTTCGCTTCCTTTTATCTCTACCTGTGCTAATTTACTTGTCCCCATAGATTTGTGGGGTTCACTCCTACATAGAGCCACTATAAATAAGCAATTAAGAGAGCAATAACAATAAAAGTAGGTAATGGAAAGGAAATAAGAATCTGGAGTATATCCATGAGAGATACAGGAAACACATTTCTGTCCCTGTCTAGCTGGATGACAACCACTTAAGGAGGGAAAGACTGAATTACTTAATCCATAGAGCACTCGACAGGAGAGTCTTCAATTGCCATCATCCATGATCTCTTATGAGGTCCTGAATGGGAGGGTGGGGGTAAGGGGTGGAGAGCACTAGGGAAATCTACTGTGCAGGTTGTCAAGCATGGAGGACATGTGGGCAAGCCAGCTCTGCACACTAGAGTGTGTGGGATGACCACACTGTGCAAATTCAGAAATGTAGACGTTAGTCAAGAGGCCAGACAGTAAAACCACATACAAAAGTCCAGGGGAATGGTGACCTAGGAGATGATGCCAGTTGTTCGGAAACTACTAGTTTGAAGCTATTCCATTTTATAGAGAAAGGCTGTTGAAATGGTAGAAAAGGACCAATGGGTGTATATACACAGTCACATGCTATTAATTCTTACAAGGACCTCAGGCTGTAAGTAAAATAGCACCTATGAGAATTCTTAGCAAAAATAATCATCTGGAAAGGCAAAGTGACCTAGACAGTAGGTGCACCATTGCTTGACTGAGCTCTAGCACCCGGAGAGGCCTGGTGCCCACAGTGGTGACAGACAAGGGAGCCCTGAGAGGCAAGGATTCTGCTGGTGCTGGAAGAAATCCAGCTTTGGCTCAAGGCTACACTTAGCCTGAGGGCTCCCGAGAGGAGCACATGGAGGGTTGGAGAAGGCCATGCACCAGGGTTTATAAGTTCTTAATGATTAAACAATACATGACAGGGTCATGCGATGAGCATTGATAATTAAGCTTACATTGACAACTAAGGTTACAGAACAACCTTTGTCCTAACAAACACATCACTCCAGACAGGACCACAGCCATCTTGGCTTGTTCAGTAGGAAGAGGTGGAGGGCAGAGAAGATGCCTATATATTGATATATATTTCTCCAATCAGGACCTTGTCTGGGGCCTGAGGATTTTAGTTTTATTGTCCTTATTCCAAGATCATATATATATATATATATATATATGAATATGCTCTGGATGCACTCAAAATCTTTCCCTTTTACATTTTTTCTAAGCATGGACCCAGATTCAGTCTCTCTCTCTCTCTCTCTCTCTCTCTCTCTCTCTCTCTCTCTCTCTCTCTCTCTCCTCCCTCCCTCCCTCCCTCCCTCCCTCCCTCCCTCTCCCTCTGTCTATCTGTCTGTCTGGATGTGTACAGAAGCCAGATGTCCCCCTCAGGTATCATCCCTTAGGATGTCATCTACTGTTTTCCTTCTCCTTTGAGACAGGGTCTCCCACTGGCTTGGAGCCTGCTGATTGGGTTGTTTGCTGCTTGAACAGCAAGCCCGGAGGATACTCCTGTCTCTGACTCCTCAGCACCGAAATCACAAGTTTTTGTTTTGTTTGTTTGTTTGTTTTTTAAATATGGGTTCTGGGCACTGAGCCATGTCCCAAGCCTTTCTGTTCTGATAGTCATCTTGCTTGGGTCTCCCTGTCACTCCTAATATGCCTTATTCATGTTGTGCCCAAGTCTCAAAAACCCCCAAGACTACCAAGGAGATAGACTCACCAAACTGCAAATGCAAGGCTTTATTGTTTAATCCTACCAGTAGGGACTCCGTCTAGTAGGCTGATGCAGCCGCCGCCAGAGGGAGCGAAGTCTATTGCCAGGATTTAAAGGAAAAAAAAGTCACAGAATTACATCAGTAGGTATGGGTCAGATCCTGACTGATTGACATTTGGGGAACAATTAGGGGAATTTCCCAGAGT